CTGTAGAAACATTTTCATCCATAAAGCTTCCTTGCAGGCTTCAGTAATTGCTATATATTCTGCTTCTGTGGTTGATAGAGCAACACACTTCTGTAACTTAGACTGCCAAGAGACTGCTCCTCCTGCAAATGTCATCAAGAATCCCGAAGTTGACTTCCTAGAATCAGTATCACCTGCCATGTTTGCATCTGTGTACCCTTCTAACACAGGTTCATCATTACCAAAATATAAACATAACCTGGAAGTATCTCTTAGATATCTTAATATCCATTTCACTGCTGTCCAATGTTCCTTTCAAGGATTAGAGAGAAATCGGCTAACAACTCCAATTGCATGAGCTATATCTGGCATAGTACAAACCATAGCATACATCAAACTGCCTACTGCAGATGAGTAAGGCACTTTGGACATTTCTTCTTTTTCTTTCTCACTTATAGGACATTGTTTCGAACTAAGCTTGAAATGACCTGCAAGTGGAGAACAAACTGCTTTGGCTTTACTCATGTTGAATCTTTCAAGAACCTTTTCAATGTAAATCTCCTGAGATAGCCAAATTTTCCTTTTCTTCCTATCACGAAGAATCTTCATGCCAAGTATTTGTTTCACTGATCCCAAGTCTTTCATGGCAAAAGACTTACTTAGCTCTCCTTTAAGCTTTCTAATTTTTTCAACATCATGGCCAACAATTAGCATATCATCAACATATAGTAGTAAAATAATAAAATCATCATCTGAAAATTTCTTCATAAACACAATGTTCAGATGTGGTTCTATCATACCCTTGGCTCATCATAAAGGAATCAAACTTCTTATACCATTGTCTAGGTGCATGTTTGAGTCCATATAAGCTTTTCCTAAGCTTATACACCATATTTTCTTTTCTCTTGACTTTGAAACCTTCTGGTTGCTCCATGTAAATTTCTTCTTCTAAGTCACCATGAAGAAATGCTGTTTTTACATCAAGTTGCTCAACTTCTAAATTTAAGCGAGCAGCCAAACCAAGAACAACTCGGATAGAGGATATTTTCACAACTGAATAAAATATTTCTTCAAAGTCAATACCTTTCTTCTGACTGAATCCTTTCACAACTAGTCGTGCCTTGTATCTTTGCTGTGAGCTATTATTTTTAGTCTTCAATTTGTAAACCCACTTATTTTTGAGAGCTTTCTTCTCTTTAGGCAATTTTACCAAGTCATAGATGTGGTTCTCAAGCAAGAATCTCATCTCTTCTTGCATGGTTTTAACCCACTCATTCTTATTCTCATGTAGAATAGCTTCTTAGTAAGTTTCTGACTCTCCCCCATCAATAAGCATAACATACTTATATGGAGGATATCTGGTAGATGGTTGTCGCTCTCGGGTGAATCTTCTCAATGGAATCTCAATTGGTGGTGGAGGTGCAAGTTCAGTTGGTTCAGCATCATCAACTGTAGGTGTATCATCACTGGTATTCTCACCACAATCTTCTTATTTATCTCCCCCATGATCATCATGAACTACAAGTGAAGGAACTGGACCCAAACTCCAAGGAATATAAATAGAGGTTTTTGGCTTCTCAATATTATCACCATCATCAAACAATTGGTCTTCAAGAAATACAACATCTCTGCTTCTAATAATCTTCTTGTTCACTGGATCCCAAAATCTGTACCCAAATTCTTCATGACCATATCCCAAGAAGATACATGCTTTTGCTTTACTATCAAGCTTGAACCTTTCATCTTTGGGAATATGAACAAATGCTTTACACCTAAAGACTTTTAAGTGATTATAAGATATATCTTTTCCTCTCCATACTCTCTCTGGAACATCACCTTTCAGAGGACCTGATGGAGAAAGATTTATCAGATCAACTGTAGTTCTCATAGCCTCCCCCAAAATGATTTTGGTAACTTGGCGTGGGAAAGCATACACCTAATCCTTTCTTCAATGGTTCTGTTCATCCTTTCTGCCACATCGTTCTGTTGAGAAGTTTTAGGAACCGTTTTCTCAAGCCTGATATCATGGAACCTGTAATAATTCTCAAAAGGACCCATTATACTCGTCACCATTATCTGATCGAATACACTTTAGTTTTCTACTAGTTTCTCTTTCAACACTGACATGAAACTCCTTGAAAACATCGAGTACTTGGTCTTTAGATTTCAAAGCAAAATCCCACACTTTTCTAGAATGGTCATCAATAAAAGTAATAAAATAAAGAGCACCTCCAAGAGTTCTAGTTTGCATAGTACAAACATCGAACTAAATCAATAACATCTGATCTTCTAAATGATGGATATATATGAAATGCAACTCTATGTGTTTTTCCAACTAAGCAATGATCACAAGATTTAAGAGATGTACTTTACAACTCTGGTAAGAACTGCTTTCTAACAAGAGTTTGAAGTCCCTTCTCGCTGATATGTTCAAGCCTCTTATGCCAAAGATCTATACTTTCACCTTTTTGAATTGCATTAATCTCTCCTTTGTGTAACTTAGCTTCCATGACATAAAAAGAGTTAAGTTTCTTTCCTCTTGCCACAATCAAAGAACTTTTAGTGGGTTTCCATTTGCTTTCACCAAAATATTGTGCAAAGCCCTTATCATCAAGTCTCTTTGTAGATATCAAGTTAAGACAAATATCTAGAATATGTCTTACATATTTGAGTATCAATTTGCTCTATATACGAGTCTCCAAGCAAATATCTCCAATACCCACAATCTTAGATGTACCACTGTTTCCCATTCTGATATTACCAAAATCACCAGCAGTGTAAAATCTAAAGAAATCACCATGACAAGTAACATGAAATGAAGCACCAGAGCCAATTATCAAATTACTGTCCTGAGCTACAAGACTAACATAACCTTCATCACAAACAATAGTGATATTACCTTCAGCAGCAACTGTACTAGTCTCTTTCTTATTTTTCTTCATTTCATTCTATTCTCGCTTCTAAAACCTACACTATTTTTTCTTCATGTGACCTAGCCTGTTACAGTGAAAACATTTGATATCTCTTCTAGACTTGGATCTTCCTCTATATCCATATGGATTTCTGCTATGACTTCTTCCATGTCTTTCTTGTTTTTCAGTAACAAATGCCCCAGAAGAAGATTCACCCTGTTCTTTCCTTCTGGCATCTTCATTTAGCAAACTGTCTTTAACCATATCTATAGTTAGAGTTCCCTCTGGCGTGGAGTTGCAAATAGTCATCACATACGTTTCCCAACTTTCTGGTAAAGAGCTGAGAAGTAATAATCCTTGCATCTCATCATTTATATTCATTTTCATAGCAACCAACTTGTTTGCAAGACTCTGAAATAGGCTTATGTGCTCAACAATGTTACCACAATCTTTATACTTCAAATTTACAAGCCTTCTAAGGAGAGAAATTTTATTTCCTACTGTCTTTTTCGCAAAGAGGTTTTCTAACCTTTGCTAAACAACATCAGCTTTGGTTTCATCAGAAATATGCTCATGCAAGTTTATATTAATCCATCTTCTAATATAGGCAATAGCTTTTCTATATTGAACTTCTCATTCTTCATCGTCCATAGTAGAAAGTTTATCTTTAACCTTAATAGGCTTATACAAATCTTTGCAATAGAACAAATCTTCCATCAGACGCTTCCAAGTGGAATAATTTGATGAGTTCAATTTAATCATACCATATGACCGCTCCATTTCAATCACACAAGAAAAACTAGCACCAAACAATCTGTTGCATACCACTTGTTGGGAAAAAAACCTGTTAAAGCGGAATATTCTTTTCCCTCTTTATGTATTAAAATGGGTTCCTCATCAAAATATCAACTTGATATCCAAATGTAAATATCAACCAGTACAGCATAAACAATAGAGTAAAAAATCAATCACACAGTGAGATCAAATCTTTTAACGTGGAAAACCCAATATGGGAAAAACCACGGGACCGTAGTCCACCTCAAACTTCCACTATCAATAGTAATGATAACAGATTTACAATAGGTCTTCTCTAGAATAACTAGAGGATCACAATAACATCAATATCATAGATCTTGGCTCAAAAATAACATATTCGTCAGAGAATTCTAGATGTCACATAGTAGATATAGCAGAAAGTATCTTAGAGAGGATAAACTATAGATCACTACCGTTAGGATTATAGAATTTACTATAAAAATTTTTCACATAAAATTTGACCACCGATCGTCAAGTAGAAAGAAACATAATCTTTCTCTCTCCTTTTTTCTCTGCACGCCGCTCGCTGCACGCACGAAGCACGAAACGGGCTGGACCCAACAGATACCTGCCGAATATTCCAACTGACACGCTTCATACAACGGAATGTAACAATGACATCTGCCCGCATCTCCTCCACTTGGTGCACGCCCAGAATCGGAATATTTTGGAAACGTTAGGTTTACGACGCTAAATCCTTCGATATCAAATTCTTGGGATTTATTTTATATTGAAAAATTGCCGTGTCTTCTTTGTTGGTGGTAACACTAGTCTCTTTTTACTGAAAAATACTTCAATAAAACACCGAATGGATAATTAAAAAAAACACTTATGATTAAATTTTTTTAATTATATCAATCATTCATAATTTTTCAATTACATGAAGAATGTAAAGTACTCAATACGTTACATCACATCATCTTTATAGAAAAAGAACTATTATGCAATAATTTCTCTAAACATTCTTTAATCATTAGTTAATTGTGTACCAAATTCAACACTGATCTAACAATGGCATATTAAATTCATGTCGATCACATCTAAATATCACTCGCTTTTATCATTTATTATTTACAAAAATATAATAATAACAATTTCTTTACGCATCTATCTTTTAAATTAATTTTCCCTAGAATCAGATCAACTAACTGCTGCAATTTATTATCAGATGATAACGTTATATGATTGGTAGTAATAACAGTACTGTTCTAATAGCGGAACACAATTTGTGTATATATATATATATATATAACTTTATATTAGCCAATATAAGCATTGTTGAGGCACTTAATGCAGCAATTATCATCAGCGGCGATAACTTTGAGATGGTCATAATGAGAAGACCATCTATCAGTCACTACAGCCTCTTAGGGCACTGACTGAGATCCAGATATCAGATTGACCAGCCTCTACAGGACCCCGTTTCTGCTCGTATTGCAACAGGTCACTCGAAGCAATTATCCAACAGTAAAAAAAATCCAAAACTTGCTGCATCTCTTGCTCCTTGCTGAGTTCCCAATTCGAGGCTCATCTGATCAGAATTAACAGCACAAGTTAATCTTTAGCTAGTTAATCCAAAACAGTAACAATTACTATCAACATTGGCGAGCAAATAAAAGCATATTTTTAATGGGAAAGATGTTCTTTAGCTTTGATGAACTCGTTTTGCTTGTTGCATTGCAAGCTTCAGTCTAACATCTAACTTTGATTTCACATGCCTGACTGTGTTTCATATGAACTGTCACAAAAGAACAGCTGAGACCATGCTTTTTATGAACATAGGACTATTTATCTCATATAGTTCCCTTCAATCAATTAGAAGTACCATGCAATTCTATTGAGAATAAGACATTATGACTTGTAAAGGCATTATTTATGCACTTTAATTACAAGAGAATGCAGATGATTCATTTTCAGGGGAAAATAGCTCAAACAAGCTTCGAGTATCAAAATAATGGCCAGCTGTATGTTAATCTGGAAAAAAAATGACACTTGTAGTACCTTAAGCAGAGCAATTTGAAGATGTTAATTCCTCACCGGAGTCACAGCCGACACCATGTCCAAAGTGGGATTCTTGTTTCACAAACCTCCCATGAATTCTTCGGCTCAGGTTCCTGACAATATTGTATATTACTAATTATCCACACTAGTGACTTTAAAATTAAATCAAAGAGGCTAAAATATTTATCCTGTATATGAATGGCAAAGAAGGTAAATAAAGATAGCACAAAAATGCAAACAGCTAGTGCAAAGTCCAACTGGCTATTGAGATCATCAAGGGGCCTAGAAAGGCAACACCGCAAGTGTTTTCAGAAGAATCAGACCAAAGTTATTAGTACTCACTGAAGAAAATCCACATATATGCTCTATAAAGCTTAAATGTGTTGCGACACTGGGCATGTTTAGAAATTTGTGAAACCATTTGAAAACTGCCTAATAACAAAAGTTAAATTTGACAGAGTCAGGTCACTGATATGAACTTCCTAGCACATCTAGTTCATCAAGATAAAAAATGAATCAATTTTTATAGCCAAGTCATAAGTGATTGGAGGTTCTAGAAAAAGAAAATATCTAGTAGAAATATGAGGATTGCAAACTATCATGTGGCATGTACTAGGCAGACATTCTCACACAATTTGGATCATCACCTCTGATGGAGTCATTTCCATCATCAGGAAAAGAGGGATCGGGAGAGAAAGATGATGGTTAGCTGGCTGACTTGAACAAAAGTCATTCTACCGGCATTCGTCTTATGGTGAAGCCCACGTATCTAATATCTCCTTCAGACCCTTCTTTTCTATTGATTATGGGACAGGAGATACACTATTTAAAGTTCAATAATTATCTCCCTTGAAAAGTAAGCTTGTCCTAATAACCAAGAGAGTTTAAAGAAACTAGGAATTAGTTCAAGAATAGAATTTCATACCGGACAGATGATATATGTCTATCAACTGCTTTTTCTTCCTTTTCATCATATGCAAACCACTTATCCTCAAGTATCACAGAGTCCCAGCTCCCAATATCTGCAAAAAGTAAGGGCTATCTACTGATACTCAGTTATGCAGTGATAAAACAGAAGAAAGCATAACACTTCCGAGAAGATAAACCTTGAAGGATGATTTTTGGATTATTGCAACAGCCCGCAAGTTTCCAATACACATATCCTTTTCCTTCCAAAAATACAGGTTGAGTTCGAACAGCATCACATCTCATGTTATCTGAATCTGTACTCATGAAGAGAAAAATGAATATGTTCACAGCAGCACAGAAAAAATAGTTCTAGTTAGAAATCTCTACCATAATGATGATTTCACATTGTGAAGATTAAAGTTATTTGATATACAGATATACAGATCTCATTGTGAAGATTAAAGTAAAAAGGGAGAAAGAAGCAGTACAGATAAACAACAAAAATTATTTGATAAATTAGACCTTTGCCTCTAAATTGTCAGTCCCAGTCATCAAAGAACTTGATCAAATAAGAATAACAAAGTATACTGTACTGGCTCCAGACATCAACAAACAGTGCAATCATATGGTATACCATATAAAGCACATCATGATAACAGTACCTTAAGCTAGTGAATTTGCTGTGTTTTGCACTTTAAAGGTGAACCTGGACAGGCGCACACAGTAGACATCAAGTCTAATGTTCATTCACATCATCTATTGCAGGCAACTCAAATATGCTCTTGAAAATGTGAAAAACAAGTTATTTCATTTTTTTTACTAAAGCCACTATAAAATCACCTGAATTTAGTCAATTTGAGACAAATTATGGGTAACGGAGAAAAATCCTGGTTGATTTATAGAAATCTGAGTTTACAGATAATGGGTAACGGAGAAATTAGTGCTTCACTCACTCCAGTGAAGAGTGATAGATGATATATCAAGCATTATGAAAAGTGTTTGAGTGATGAGACTCTATTTAGAATTTTGTTATTCATATCAATGCTTCAAACATAAGTTCATTAATAACAATCATTGGTGTTGTCAAATATCCCAACAAGGTCAATATAGCTAAGGGTAAATGGAGGAAGAGAATGATTGATGCATCTCATGGCACATGTGGTAACAAAGAAACAAGGAAAAGTTGACCATGAACCTGTGTGGCCATAGTGAATGTACATTCAATGAGAATATCTAACTATTACAAACAATAATAACCAGAAACAAGAAATCATTCAAGGAAAGCCACACATGTGAAACATCATTGTTAAGATACATCAAGCTCAAAGTCATCTAATCAGGGGCTTTGCTAAGATACAGTTTACTTCATTACAATGCAAATGCAAGCTGGGAAACAAGGTTCATCTCATACAGTATGGGTAAAACTAGTTAGGATGATTACTGAACAGATGTAGAGCACCAGTCATAATAACTGATGAAGAAACAACCCAATCTTAATTGTGAATCATACAATCAATATCAATATGCCATAAAGCAAGACCAGAGAGACATTGCAGACTGAAAGGATCAGTAGCATCCAATCTAAAACTTACTCTTTGGCAATAGCTCCATTATCTCTAGCATCTCTGCATGAGCTTTCTCTGTTTCAGCACTTATTTGTGAGACAAGATTCTCATGTTCAGCAACAGAGAGAGGTGGTCCTTCTCTCAAAAAAAGCATAGCTTTTGCCACATCATCCTTAAGCTTTTTCTTTAGATCCTTTCCCTGCACAAAATCTATTAGTTCAAGAACTAGCACGACAAACCATCAACAAACTTTTGGGACTCCAAACCTTTCTTTTAGCAGCAATGATTGTTTCTTTCAACTCCTTGTTTCTTTCAATGTACTTTTTATTTTCTTCATCAATCCAGTTCCTCACTTCTCTGGAAAGGGGTAATCGGTGACAGTCTGAGTAAGTAATTAAATTGGAATATAATAACCAAAAAGATATCATGTCACTCACTCAGTTCCAAGAGTCCTATCACAAAGAAGATTCAGCAATCTGAGCTTCTCTGATAGATCCAAACTATTATGTGTCAGAGGACCTTTGTTCAAGCACTTTGAAGGAATCTCTAAGGCACAGTCAGATTCATTTAGGCAGTCAACAAGAGACTGCAACCATTTTTCTCCACTAGTTGAGTATGAGATAGACCTACCAGATCAAAATAATTAAACAGTTTACTGGGCTGAATACCAAATAAAAGTAAAAGCAACACAAAATCTTATGCATAAAAGGATGGTACCCGTCACCCAAGTCCTTTTGAATAAATGACAGTAATTTGATATGGAACTGAAGGATCGAAGAATACACTCCTCGACGACCAACACGCCCTCTTGCTAATTCTCTGAGAACACATTCGGGTTCTCCTTTCTTTATATCAAGGACCTAAAAAGAATGGCAAGCTCATTAAAAAAAGAATTCAGCAACCAAAATGGTCTTCAAGTGTCCTTAAGATGAGAATATATTTAATTTGAACCAAAAATACATATATAAATTAAATACAAGGAAATCAATTTGGTATGATGAGTAGCAGAAGTATAAGATGCAAACTAACCAATTATAAGAGGACAGAGCACTTTAATTTGTTGCCAACATTGCAAGGAGAAACTTTGAAAGATCAAAATAAGATCCTCAGATATGGCAACTTGAACTTAGTTTCCCTTAATAATAGGTTGAGCTTTGATATCACAGTTAGGGTTACTCCTTTCTGATGAGGTTCTACCAATGTTAAAAAAAAAATCTACTTAAAGGGTAAGACTACATATATTGACACACCTCAAACCTAATATTTCTAGGAGTCTCCTAAACTGAACCATCCCTAAAGTTTCTCCTAATAAATTTACATTGAACATGAAGAATAAGTGAATCTATGTTTCTTTAATGTTATTTACTTTCACTTCCAAACACATTGACTTCAATTTTGTGGTTTTCTTGGTTCTTTTAGTACTTGGATGTAATTTATCATTTTGCTTTTTCTTATAATGAAGTGATATGATAATGAGAACATTTCTTGTGGCATTTTGACATAACATGAATAAAACACAGCACAATTACCAACTTTTATGCTTGCAAGAAACAAAGATCTGAAGTTTGGGGTAATCAAATATGCATCCTGTTATCGAACTCAGTTTATATGCTTCTATCACACAAAGACCCAGCTTCCAGACAAACAAAAGAAAAGAAAAGGGTATGGTTAGACCATATGTGATTCAGCTTTGAGATCTTCTTGTTTTCTTTTAAATCATGGATTCATGATTATCTTACTGTGCACTTCACAAAACAACTTATAAAAGTTTAAAACACTTCTCAAAGATCTAAAAAAATTATAGTTTGGATCTATCAATTAATTCACAAGTTGATTTCAAACTCCTATATTGAACTAACAAAAGTATGCAAACTACATTTCATTGGCCTTCCATAAGATGACATACAAAGGCAAGGATTGAGATATGGCAGCAAAAAGGATAATATGAGATGACAAGCAAACAAAATTAAGGTAAAACTTCAAAATGAATCTTATTAAACCACCTAATCTGACAAACCAAAATTGACACTTGCATTTGCAATATGAACTGATATTATTATAAGGGACATGTCATATGGTGGCAACAGAGGATTTCACTAAATCATCTCTCTGCAATTAGTCAAATAATAAAATGCCCATCTAATACTTTTTTTATATCAAATCTGCCTTCTATGTCAATTAGTTTTTTTGTTACATAACTATTACACTTCTCATAATGAAGATTCTAGCTCTAGATAAAGCCCATGATTACCTGAAAGCTTATAATTTGCAATCATCTTGTCTTTATTTCATGCATTTTCATTTTCTTCTTTTCAAAAGTTCTCAAGTTTTTCATATAATGTGACTCATATCTGGAGCACTCTTAACCAGAATATCAGATAAGGGAACATTCAGTACCAACATCAAGACATGGCACCTAGTGACAATGAATATGGAAGCAAAACTAACAATTCTAGATTCCAAATTACTTTCTCAAGACACTTATCTCTGGACATAGATTTTTTCCTGCCACATCATGAACTTAGTTACAGATCGCACAAAGTAGAGTACATGATCACAAAGGATTTCAGCAGTAAGCCTTTTAGCATGTGCATCCCCTTGGAGAGAGTCTTCTAGCCACTTCTCCAAGGAAAAAGGAGAAACTGTCAAATGGAATGGGAAGAAAAACTCAAATTTAAAGTGTAGATTTCTGCCAGAATTCCTAACTAACAGAATGCTAAACTTCAGTTTATGTTCTAGACCATGCTGAATTTTCCTCTGTAAGCAAAAATGATTCCCTTGCCAAATTAGCTCAGAAAGTGAAGCTTTGACATATAAATAGTACATAATTAAAAAAATGTCTTTTACCCTACACATATTATATCATATCTTATCTTTTCAAGATTTCACATATTACCATATTCATATTGTGTCATGTCCATGTTTCATACAAACAAATTGAAAGCATCCTTCATAAACATTATTTTCTTAACCACTAAATTACATGACATAATATGCAATCAACATACTATAATTACAATGATCAAGACTTCCAGAAAACCAGTATTTAAAAGCTTAAAAAGCAAGACTTGGTCCACTAACAAAAGGGCCTTTATCTTTGTTCTGCAAATGAGCAACTCCACTAGAATCACACTATATCCACTACAAAAAGACTCATAATCTGCAAATGAGCCATGTCAGCGCAAGGACACAATGAGCAACCGAAGGCACATAATGCAGACACTACAAACACTTGCATCCCTTCCTCATTCAACATAACAGTACATTGTAATAATATTGAGCTATCTGACATCATACCTCTGAAAATGCATTGCAAAATTCCAGAAACTGCAAAGCTGCTCCAACATCCTCAGCTGCCCAGTCATACCCTGAAACCTTTATTAATGGTAAGCCCTGAGGAACAACTATTGATATGTTATCATGTTCAAAGGGGACTTTGGCACCAGGTTTCCTGGACTTGTGCTTTTTTGGTGGCAGTTTGGCTTTGACATTCTTGTTTGGCATGTCAACTAAGACTTCTGCTTCATCACTATTTGAGTTTTTAATACCATGTTTCTGGAACCTTTGTCCTTTGCACAGTGTTTTATTGTGGACATTGTTCTTTTTTCCTTTGTCAGATACTTTGATCTCATCTTTGTTAATACAATTATTCATGTCATCATGTAATTGCTTAAAAAGCATTACCACATGTTGCAAATCCTCATGTTCATTATCACCACAATTATTAGGGACATGCTCATCATTGTTTAGCTGCATCCCTATTTTGCTGGATATTGCAGATACTTTCTTTGCACCCTTTGTTCGTGCTTTTGCATTCTTCAGTCTTGCATTTCCATTGCAGAGCTCAATAACATTCCCACCATCACTCTCATTCAAACTTCTCAGCTTCTTCAGTCTTCTTTTCTTTTGCTTTTGTGCAGGTACTTCATCTTTCTCGTCATCAATGCTAGAACACCGTACATCCTTCTGCTCATCATGGTCTTTTTCCTTATCTCGACTTCTTTTGGGAGTCACCTGAGAAGAAATGACTAGCTGAATTTTTATTGATAGTGAATATGAATTTATATACAATAAGAGATATTACAAAATATGATAATTACATAATTTTCATGATCAATAATAAATATAAAATATTCACTAAATCATTTCATAATGTGGGAGATCATGTTGAGATCATGATTTTCATTATTGATAGAATCATGATAATATACTATCATAATTTCTATGATTTAGAATCATGGTAACATAGTATCAAAATATTGTGAAGATCATGATAATCTTATCATAATTTATTTTTCTTAATAATGTCTTTCCTAATATGCCCCTGTAAGATGGCGCTCCCATCGGAGACATCGATCTTGGATCGATGTAGAAGGAATTGCTAACGAAACAAGGACTTGGTAAGAACATTTGTAAGTTGATCAAAAGATGAGGCATGAGAGATACATAGCTCACCATTTTGAATTTTGTCACAAACAAAGTAAAAGCTAATAGTCATGTGCTTATTCGAGAGTGAAATACAAGATTAATACATAAATATGTAACACCAATATTATCAAAATATATAGATCGAGGATCAAAAATTATGATAAATAATTCATATGGCAATGATTAAATCCAACAAAGTTCAACAATTATATAAACAACTACTCGATATTCAGCCTCCGTAGAAGATCTTACAATAGAATGTTGTTTCTTGGAATTCCAAGAGATTAGATTATGACCAAGAAATACGATATAAGCATTGGTAAAAGTCCTGTCATCTTTATTACCTACTCAATTGATATCCGAAAATACATAAAACAATAGAGGAGAGTCCTTTTGGAAAAATAAGTCATAATCAATAATGCCCTTTTAAGTATCAAAGAAGACATTTAATAGCTATCCAATGATTAGAAGTAGGCCTATATATAAATTGAGATAATTTATTCACTGCATATACAATATCCAAATGAGTAAATGCCAAATACTATAGACTACCAACAATTTATCGATACTCAGTGGTGTCATTGAGATTAGCACTATCAGATAGGGTAAGAGAAATATTTATAGAGATTTGTGTAGCAATAGTATTGGCTTCAATCATTTTGGTGTGATCAAGAAAATCATGAATACACTTTTGTTAGCACTATCAGATAGAGTAAGAGAAATATTTATAGAGAGTTGTGTAGCAATAGTATTGGCTTCAATCATTTTGGTGTGATCAAGAAAATCATGAATACACTTTTGTTAAAAAAAAATAGATCATTTGCTATGTGGATTACTTAAACACCAAGAAAATAGCTAAAGGACCCAAGATCTTCAGTAGAAAACTTATTTCCAAACTACTAAATAAACTAATTAATTAGTATTGGTTTATTATCAATAATAATTAAGTCATTCACATAAATTAGTAAAAACATGATTATACCTTCAGGAGAATAAATGAATAACAAATTATCACATTGAAATTTATAAAATCTAACTAAGAGTAGATATATTCAAAGTTCATGATACGAAGCACGAGAGGCTTATTTAAGACCATAAAGAAACTTGCATAACTTACAGACATGTTGAGGAAGATTATGATAAATAAAGCTTGGAGATTGTCTCATAAATACATCCTTGAAAATATGACCATGAAGAAATGTATTATTCACGTCCAACTATTGAAGTCTCTAATTGTTAAACAAAGAAAGATATAAAATAATACGAATTATTGTTGGCTTCACAACTGGAGTAAATGCATCGGGGTACTCAAGGCCTGGACATTGATAAAATCTCTTTGCAACAAATCTCTTTATACTTATTGATGAACCCATCGGGATTTCATTTGATATGAAAAATCTATTTGCACCCTACAAGATTTTGATTTGGATGAGATAGGACTAAGTCTCATATATCATTTCATAATAAAGCATTATATTCTTTAGACATTGCTACTCGCCATTCGAGAATTTTAAGGCTTGGTTAACAATAAAAAGCTCAGAAATAAATTTTGGGATTATTTTATGAAAATAAAAAAAATATTTATTTAATTTAAAGATATGATTTTTGGATCTAGTAACCATCGAATGAATTGGTATAAGGTCAATGACATCTCTAGGACATATTGAACGAGAAAAATTTAAAGTAAGGATAGTAAAACCAAACCTTGTTATAAATTCTCTTGTTGCATGACACTCTCATGAGACAGTTGGATGGATGAGATAACCTATTATTCATCATGCACCATTGAGAAAAGACCTGGTAGGATCTAAGTGGATACAGTATTTGGATTGGTGGATGGGTTTCATATTTCAACTTGAATGAGAATGATAATATAAGGTGACTTATGAATTTGGGGAATCAAATCAATAAAGTTATTGGAAGTTAGTCTAGGTAAAAAAAAAGAAATGAATTATAAGAAAAAATAAATTCCATAAAATCAACATGATGAGAAATGAAAATTCTTTTTGTTAATGGATCAAAACATTTAAAAACACTTTAATTAATAGAATATCCAAGAAAAAAACATGGTTTTGATCGAGCTACCAATTTGTTGTGGGTGTACAACTTTAATCATGGATAATATAAACACCTAGAAACATATAATTTACTATAATTAGGAATGGATCCAAATAGTTTTTCAAATGGTGAAACTATGTTTAGAACTGAAATGAGCATGCAATTAATAAGATAAGTTGATGTGTCAAATACATGAGACCAAAATTAAAAACGTAAGAAAGCATGAGTAAAGAGTGTGAGACCAATTTGGACGATGTGTTGATAACAACGTTTTGCGGTCCCATTATGTTCAAGAGTATGTATACGAGTGAGAAAATGAGAGATTCTATTAGTTTTAAAAAAATTATAAAGCTCTTGAAATGCACCACCATTATCAGAGTAAAATGAAATAATAGATCGTTAAAAGAACTTTTCAACAATAAGTTTGAACTTTGAAAAACGATGAATACTTTAGATTTTTGCTTCATGAGAAATAACCATATGTACTTAATGAAATGATCAAATAAAATATTAGTTAAATCTATCATGAGATTATATTGGTGATGGACCGACTCCAAACATTAGAATATATAAGTTCAAGAGGCAAATTACTTATGAAAGAAGATGTAGAAAATAAAAGCTTATGCATTTTATTGCATTTGTATAAGTTACACAAAAAGGGATGACAAGATGATGATGATAAAGGTAAATTGCAAGAACAAACAATATGATTTAGAACCTTAAAAAAAATGCCCTAAGCGATTGTGACATTCTTGAAATGGAGCCTTGATGGTGGCCAAAGCAAAGATAAGATGGATTTAGATGGTTCAATTGTTGGCTACTCATAAACTCTCTCTATTCAACCCCTGTATGAGATGTGCCCCCATGTTGAGATTCTTCACAACAAATGAAGAGTAAGAATTCAATAAAAACATTATTAGAAGAACATAATTTAGAGACAAATATTAGATTCTTCTTCATATCAGAAACACAAAGAACATCAAAACCTAAAAAGGATTTTAAGAAAAACGAAAAGTTTTTGAAACAAGTATAAGTTATTTTGAGACCTTTATCATCACCTATCATGATATCATCTAAACCATCATAATCTGAATAAAAAAACAGATTATTCAAGTCAAATGTGACATGATGAGAAGCCCCAAAATCAATAAACCAATTTGATAAAGGCTGAAAAGATTGAGCAACAAAATTAACACATGATGATGGTAATAAAAATCGAGTAGGTGGTGCAACAGGATATGTAGAATAAAATGAGTATGAAGGCTGAAACATCTATAGAATAACAATTTGCAAGCGATGATATTTCTTAACAACATAGCCTTGCAAGTCACATATTTGACAAGTGACTTTATTGTTGAATTGTTAATCGGATTTGTTGACACTTTAATTGTGATGTTGTATTATGTTGCCTCCAAAATGATTGTTTGGACAGTTGTCTTGCTGGCTGTGAATCTTGCCTTTGTTACTAGAATTAGCTTTATTAACAAAATTGACAATGATGGAAACAACATCAAAAGATGGTGACTTTTGCTTAAGATAAGCTTCATAGTGAAAAAGTTTATCATGAAGTTCTTCAAAAAATATAAAACTATCGTGAGCACGAATCGTAATTGAGATCTTATAATCTGAACCAAGACCATTTAATACATAAAAAATGATCTCTTCATCATCAAGAGGTGCATCAACCATAGCAAGTGCATCAACTTGAGTTTTGATGGCCTGCATGTAGTTCAAAAATAGACATTGTGCCTTTAGAAAGTTTGAAGAGAGTTTTTCGAAGTTGTATGAGACGACCACGAGACTGGTTAGCATACATTATTGCAAGCTTGGACCATACTCATAAGAAGATTTGATAGAAGCTACGTAGGGACTGATATAAGGAGAGAAAGAGGCAATGATAGCACTTCTAAGAAGAACTTGACGGATCCAAAAAGTGTATTTAGGATTAATAACTTCAAGATTATTCTCTCTAATCGTTTGTGTAGCACAAGTGATGGTACTAATTACATAGCCTATAAAATCATAACTGATTAAAAGAGAATAAAATTGAGTATACTAAGAGATATATTTTGCAGACGTGAGTTTGAGAAGAGTTTGGACAACAACGTTAATAGAGATAAGAGTCTTTTCAAAAATAAAGGAGTTGGAGATGATATGAGATGAGTAACTAATTGAAGAGGCATTACTAGCTATGTCCAAAAGTGAAGAAGAAAAAGATCCAAAGCAACTTACAAGAAAGAAAGACTTACTAAAGCATAAAATTCAATAGAAATTACAATGCTACCTTCAACTACGATGAAGAAGGATGTACAAAATAACAATAGCACAGAGAGGATCAAAGGAAAAAAAAAAAAAAACTCCTCGAAGCAACCATGGCTCTGATACCATGAGAAGAAATGACTAGCTAAATTTTTATTGACAATAGTATGAATTTATATACATAAGAGAGTTTACAAAATATGGTAATTACATAATATTTTTAATCAATAATAAATATAAAATATTCACTAAATCATTATATAATACGAGAGATCATGTTAAAATTATGATCTTCATTATCGATAGAATCATGGTAACATGTTATCATAATTTTTATGATTTAGAATCATTATAATAAAGTATCAAAATATTGAGAAGATCATGATAATCTTATCATAATTTATTTTTCTCATTAATATCTTTACTACTACCACCGACCCCTTTGATAAATGCTAACTTATAAGCTCAATAAAGACATGTAAAATGTGTATAAGAGAGAACTAAGAGTCGTACCTTTGTACAGGTAGGAGGTACGCATGCGCTCAAACTTCTCAGCCCATTTGCAGCACTTAACACATCAGATCCCTTGTTATCCAGCAATTCATGCACCGAAGAGAACCCAGTTGCCTTGGCGGCATGGATGAGAATTCCCGTTGGTTGCTGGCCCTTCTTCTTCCTATCAAATTAGGAACCAATTCCTTCATCTCCTTACGATGGAAAGAATAGAACAAATCATATGACTATTCCAAAGAAGAATGATTACATGCAGAAGCTACAGTTGCAAACGCCACGGCATTTGGGGCAACTCCAATTCTCCAGCACAGCAGCCTCTTCCGCGTTCTCCCCGTATCTGAAGCAACGAAAACCCCTGCCGTCGTTACCCTCGGATCGGAACAAGATGTGAAACAAAAAGCAGTGAGAGTTAGCGAGTGTATGCGGCACCTGTTGAGGAGGCACTTGTGGCAGAACTTGATAGGGCAAGGCTTGTCCCCCCTTAGCTGCTTGCACGACGCCGCGAAATCCATCGTCTTCTGCCGACACTGCGAATATCACACACAGCAAAATAAGCGCGATTCGTCCAAATCCAGAAAAATGCAAAGGATCATGAAGAAGAAGAAGATTGTCGGGAAACCTGATGACAAGTCTTGCCGTTCTCGGAATCGTAGATTCGGCCACCGATGACTCGAACGCCAGGCGACTTGGTGCGCTTTCGGGGGGAGGTGGCAGAGGAGGAAGAGGCTTCGGCCGTCGTCTTGCTTTCCTCCGCGGCGCGGCGGTCGGCAGCGGCGGCGTTGCGGGGCACGGCCATCGGGTCGGAGATGGTTAGGGGAGGGGACGGAGGAGAAAACGGTGTGTTCGATGGAGGCTCTCAAAAGGAGGGAGACGAAGGAGGGCTTGTGAAAATTTTGGAGGTCGATTTAAAATAGAGCCGAAGCGGGGTTTCGGCGAGGGGAAAGTTTTGGGATGGTAGACGCGTGGGTGCGTTCCTCGGTGCGAAAACAAAAAAAAAACGATCCTTTCCTCGAAATCAGTACTTACTCATTTCCCCACCCCACCATTCGGGAATACTGGTAGCCTTGGAGGGTCCCATTTACACACCAATCACTAGGTGGTAGTTCTGTGTCACGTGGTGTTTCCTGCTTCGGCGAGCGCGAGCGTGAAATCCGGTGTTCAAATTCTTCTAACACCTACACTTACATCCACTACTACACCCGGATGATGAACCGGGCCGCCAAATGGGCCCATGACCCGTTAATTAGCAGACGTGTTCTTTGTGTTTAAGTTTCGATTGGATGCGCCTTTATTTTAAATTTATAATTTGATAACTCCTGTAATTATAATTTTTTGACACAATTATATTTCACATTTTACCCCTTTGCTTCATGTTGGACTTTTGTCTGTCTCCTTTCAAGGCTCGTTTTAGGCCTGTTTACTTTCATTATTCCATGGAGACAGGGTTTAGCACGAATACTTTCATTATACCATGGAGATATGAGATTGGTATGAATTCCATCCATTTCCATTATGATCTAATGCACGAGATCCTTCCACCAAAACCAACCACTTAAGTTTACTCTCTACAGCTAAATATCATGTCGAATCAGAATCGAATCAATCGATAATCAATTGGATTCGAATCAATTTATTAATAAATTAATTTTAAAAGTTATAAATGGTTTTGATTTGATGTACTATTCTTCTATTTAGTTAATCAATTTAGATCAAATAAAAAATTTAATTAAAAAAATTTAGTATGATCGAATTTGCTATATTAAACCCTTGACCAATTAATCAAATCTGTCTAAAAACCTCCAAACTCCTAAAAACTCTATTGTTCAATTCAATTTCATAAATCTTATCATGTTAATTCAATTTGATCAAGATTATTGAACCGAATCAATTTATTTAATATATAATTTAAATTATTTAAATTTTATAAATCAATTAATCGAATCAAATTAATAGATTTTAAATCTATTTAGTTTGATAGGTCTAAATCGTTCCGACCTATCTTAATTTTATCGAATTAAATCGAAAATCAATTAGACCCTTAAAATTTTGATTCGAGTCGATTTAAACCCCCCGACTCATTACATACTCGACTTCAGCTTCTCCAAGATAAGTCTACAGTGTGGTTTTTGTTTGACACCGCACAAAAGGACCCACAATCCAGTAGTATTGTTAGGTCGATCCGTGGCAGCAAAAAGAAACATCAATCAGATGTGTTTCCGATGTCTGCTGTCACTGTAGCACCCCAAACCATTTTACTCGAGCTTCACATTCTCCTCTTACGTGCAACGACACCAGCCATGTTTCTGTGTTATCTGAATCCAACCTTTGTCTCCGCAACAACAAGCTAAACAACAAAAAACACCATGTCCGAGTCGCCTGGTGTCCAGATTAAGCGAATCCCCTGGTAAGTGTTGCTGATCCGTTCAATCCAAGCTTGTCGTCTTCAAAAAGATCAAGCGCCATCATCATTTCTGGTTGCCCTCGAGATGATCAGGACGAAGACAGGGAATCCCCTACTGGCAGCGCATGCAAGTTGGTACGTCTGCCACAAGAGATAATCCCCTACTGTTAGCCCTAGCAGAAAGCACATGATTGGAGTTCGGTGATCCACGTTTCTTTGTACGTCGAATTGTATCGAATACACAGACATGGAAGAACAAGAACTAAGATCTGTCAACCACAGTTGCCCATTAAGTAACTAAGAACAACAATGATCTGTTAAAGAAGGCAAATCCTAAGAATAATTAGAACATCCTGCCTTCAAATCGTTGATACTTCACTTGACAACCCAACCGTAGTATACTGATATGTGCATTTTCTTCTGACGATGAACACACACAAAAAGGAGAAGATGAAATTAAAGAAAGCCCAACCAGGGCTTAGTTTGGCAGCTAGCACTCGTCACTGTGCTGCCTTATGCCTTTCACTTGCCCACATTAAAAATAAGAGAACTATGCTTATTGTTATTGACTTCCACTTGCAATGTAAATGTAGAAGTGTACTGGTACGAATTACTGCCACAGGCACCCAAAAATGTGATCAGATAAGTGCTTTCCACATATAGGTTGCATACTTTCTTACTCTATTATGTCCGACCATTTTTTCCTTCCATGTTTCTTCTTTGATTCTTGTGAACATTTTAGGAAGAATAATTATAACTAAGAGGAATCTTTTGCCTGCATTCTATATTATACACAGAAATATTCATTTTTGTTACATCCTCATGATCAAAATATCAGCAACATTTTGCTTCTGAGTGCAAGTAATAGACCAAGGAATATGAATGCAATGCATCTGGACATTAGAGATGCCACGCAAGTAATAGACAAACGAATGAAACAAACAAGTTAATCGAGAAGAAGTAACCTTCAACTTCTCCATTCTAAGTTCTCTCGCACAATTAATGTACTCTTTTTTGTTTCATGAAAGAAAAGATAAAAAGGAAGAACACTACAAAGCCTCTATGAAATGCTTCGTGAACAACTATTGTGATGGAGATGACTCCATTTCTCTTCCTCTCTTCCCGTCGCCGCCGCTCACCGATGGCAACTCTGATATGTTCACGCCGAACAGCTTCACAACCGGAAGCGGCCTAATAGCCGGCGTCATCGTGCGATTGCTAGCGACTGCTTCGGTTCTCCAATCGATGTAGAGCTGCTTCTCCGGCCCGGTGGATCGCCAGAAACTGACCACATCTCTGGCCTTGAGGTTCTTCTCCTTCACGAACCGGCTCCAGCCTTTGGTCAGCACGTAGCTCTGGCTACTGCTCCAGTACGAGTACCTAAACCTCCACACCTTGCCGCCGGCATCCTCGACGTTGAGCAGCACTCCCTTGCAGGCCATGCCGCTGCTGCTCTTCAACGGGAAATGCTTCTCGGCGTGCTGCTTTGGTATCACCAGCCTGTTCAGCTTGCTGACGTCGCTCGGCGTGACCGACTTATCGAACAAGATCACGCGAGACGACCGTAGGTAGCCCGGCGTCGTCCGCTTCCCGGCAAACCCGCCCGCTTCGTAGCTTCGCTTGCTCTGCTGGAGCTCGTCGCGGTACGTGTGCTTGCGCAGCATGTCCACGATCTCCGCTTTGGAGTGCGTCTCGAGGAAGGAGAGCTCGCCGGCCTCCTCGTCGTCGGACTCTGACAGGGGATTGAAGTTGGTGACAGCGTCGCGACCGCGGAACCGTTGCGCAGCGACGTCGTAAGCGCGCGCCGCGTCCGCCTCATCGCCGAAGGTGCCGAGCCACACCCGTTGGTGCCTCTCGTAGATCTGGGCGCCCCACCGCCCGTTCGGCTGCGGCACGACGCCTTTGTACCGGTACGAGGCCAGCTTCCTGGACTCCGCCTCGATCCCGCCCTCGGGTGCCGGGTCAATCACCAAGCTCACGCCACTGCCCAGTCGCTGCAGTGCCACGGCCGCGTGCAGTGGTGCCTGCAGCCGCTTCTCCGAGTCGATGCTCGATGCCTCTTCGACACAGCTACTCTCCATGGCTTAGGAAGCTTCAAGGCGAGACAATACGAGGGGAAATCTTATATAGGCTTACGTCTTACGGATGTGGTGTACACTTTTCAGGAGGTTCATGGGGAAGCTGGGAAGGTTCAAGGGACGAGTTTGGCTTTCGTCATTGCTCTCCTCTTTGGAGAAGTTGGATGGGATGTGGGTGATGTGATCAGAGCGGGTCCTGCAGAGCCGCAAGTTGGATCCAGTGGGGATGATAAGCTTGTCGGAGCATGTGGCCAGATGCATCCCCCGAGCTTCGGTCGCTCAACTGCTGATTGAGCTGATCATGACCTCCGTTCTTGCATTGATCTGTTGATACACAGTGAACAGAGGTGACGTTTTTGTTGGCGACAACCATGCATGCATGAGACTTTCCGTTTGATTAATTGGCTGCTTCTGCCGCAGAGACTATTATCGAAAACATAACGTGACCGTATGTTTCTGTTAATGATTTGTTTGAATGAGAAATAGAAGGAATTATTAGAAGCAAAAACTTGGAAATTATGGAGGAGGACTTGCGATTTCAGGCGATGCTTTGGCTATATGGGCCTTTGTCCCGGAGCCCTTCACCGGAGAAGCTTATGGAAGATGCAACGAATTACATATAGTAGACTTCGGGTGCTATTATTTTTAATCATTTCTATTTTTATTCATCTAGCTGGCTTCTATCCACTTCGACACGGACATAATAATTGACATAATATTGTTCTAAGCTTTATTTTTATATATGATGACGTTAAATTTTGATCGTCTGTATAGAGCTAACATGATCTTATGTCTAAATATTATTTAACGCTTTATTGTATGTATGATGAGGTTAGATTTTGATCCTGTCCAAAATGATAGGCTTTGTTTCATGTCGAAATCACAAACTTAGATAATACGATTGACTAAACTTTGCTATGGATATATGGAAAATCATTGGTCCATAGTAGGCAACAAAATAACTAATGTATTGATTAACATGTTGAAGGTGAATCACTTATTCAAAATATCATTAGATTTAGCTAATTTTTATAGACCGGAGTGTTATTCAAACGCAGATGGATGTCGAAGTTATCTACAAACTATAAATCCCTCCTCGAGTCGACGAATATTCTTTAAGAGCAAGAGCTTCCTTACAATATTTCGAATAGGATCCTTTGTTTACTCAAATTTATATGGTTTTATAATATATCATTTGATTCTTTTGATAATACCTACCTCGCTAAGCCTAATATAAGTTAAAGGTTGAACTATAATGCTGATGAATGAGTTAGCAAATAAAGTTTAAATTTATTGATACATAATAACACTTCTCGAACTATCCTAGTTTAAATAGATGTGCATTTATTCGATGATGAGATATGCTTATATTATTTATATGTAATAACACATCTCGATTCTGTCCCTATTCA